GGCTTGCGGTTTCCTATTCAACCCGAGCTCCTGTCGATTAGCAATATGTACAGTGTACCCATAAATCAATTTTCTCCTAATGCTATTCGCATTATGGTTGCCTTCATCATAATCTGTAAGATAAAGTTTGGCCATTTCTTGCCCGAGTTCCTTTTGTATTGTTATAGCTATCGTTTCATAAAGGACGCCCATTGTCTGGGCCGTCGTCCTGGTGTTTCCTTCCTCGAGGATCTTTCTTCGAACGTGACCGAGTGGAAGACTAAATTCTTCTACATCCGTCCTGCTCCCGGTATCTACCCTTTTTCCAACGTCTGGATTACTTCTAAAGTTAATCAGAGTAATCCTCGTCCTAAGTCGAGCCTGTTTCAAGATATGCTGGACGACTTAAATAAGTTCACGTGGAGTGCCCGCTTACTGGTTAAAGACCGCGGCCTTCTCAATCACGTAGGTTGGTGGAAAGACGAGGATGCCCCTCGCGTTGATGACCCTCGTAAGCCCATGTGTTTGTCGGTTTCTATGTTCGATTTTTTTTTTTTATTCATCAGCTGCTCGCGTTTATAACCATTGGTATTTCTTACTTACTAGTTTTCTTGTCGTTCAGTTAAAGCTTTGCAGCGCTTTGAGACCAAGGCGAAAGGTAGCGCAAAGTCTGCCAAGCCCGTCGCTCCCTCAGCAAGACCCATCGATGGATCCGGTTCTGGGGTAAAGAAAACAGCTGCCGAGACGACCGCCGCCCGGAAGTCGAAGATGGTCACCCCCTCTTCGCTACCGCAAAAGAACCCGGGTCTGGGGTCCAAGAAAAGGGGTCCGGACGAGGTCGATCCTGAGCAGAGGGCCGACCCATCCAAACGCCTCAAGGGTAAGAACAAGGAGAAAGCTGTCGAGGTCCCTCGCTCCCCTGGCGCTCTCGAGGAGGTGACGCTCGAGAGGCCCTGCCAACTTTGGAATCATCCTCACCCGCACGAGATAGCCAAATACCTTGACTTCGTTATCCCCGCGGCTGACAAGGCCCGTGCTGATCGCGACCCCAATGACTGTGCCGGCCGTGCTTTACTATGCTTCTCTCGAGTGAGTGTTCCTCGACTCTTATTCCTGTGTGTTCTCCTTATTCTAACTTTTGCCTTGTGCTGATTTTTATTCTTTTCCTGCTTCTTTTTCTTCTTTTTTTTTCAGTTCATGGCCTATGTGATGCCTACTCTTCTTGAGGAGTCCAGCTCCCC